TCCCATCTAACACGTGTATAAGGGCACTGGCTTTTAAGTGATTTTTATGTCTCAGTAGACTGTGACTGAACAATATCTAGTATATAATAAAAGCTCTGAACATTAGCTGCCACTGACTTGAACGTAAAATATACAATTACAAGGGCACTGTAAAATGTTAAGTGAACTTGGAATTTTACTAGGCAGAGTAGAGGCACAAGAGCATCAGTGAAGAAGGCAGGTCAAAAGAACAGAAAACATTAATGAGTTTAACTCCTAATCTGTTGACAAAGATTAGTGATATCTGTGTGATGAAGTAGTCAGACAAAACAAGCAGAAAAAGGTCTGGTTTTAGTATGAAGGCATATGTTAATACACAGTGAAGCAAAAACTTAGGATCCCTCAATGCTGAATTCCTATTTCAAAATGAAATACAATGGGTTATGACAAAATAATGGTATGTTTCATGACGTCAGCGTCCACATAGGTAACAAAACTAGAGCTAATGCGTAAAAAAAAATGGAGATACAAGACGTTTTCAGGTCACTACTGAGTCACAGATTTCCAAATTTCCAATTTTCTAACCAGAAATTCCTATTGACTTTGAAGATATTCAGACACCTTTTAGTACCAGTGGGAGATGTACCCAATGACTTTTCAGGATCTCATCCTTAATTTCTTTCGACCTTGTTTCACATGTCTGCAAAACAGAAACCTCCTCATTTCACAGGAGACTTTTGAGGCTACCTAAACCAAAAACTGTTTCCTATTTATACACTGGAAAGGCAGATAGTGTACCTAAGATAGAAATGCCTGTTGTTCAGCCTGTTGGAGCATCCTTCTAAAAGGAAGAAACAGATAAGGAGTTGGCTTGTACACTGCATTGAAGTGGCTGAGCCTTACTCGACAGAAAGAAAACTACTCCACTCAGCTGTCAAAACCACCTGCTAGGTACAACATATAGGATTAAGAAAATTCAGTGGAAAAAATGTCATGACAGGAACAAGCTTTTTTCTGTGAAAAAGTTACTAACAAGACCTGCTTTTCTACAGATTTATGACCACTTACCATCAGATAGTGTTGCTATCGCAATCTGCATATACATATGTGTTTTTCTATTTACTATAAAAGATAAATAGCTAGAGGTTAACACTGTAATACACAATAAACTTCCAATTCCTTCAAATATAGCTGTAATTGTTTAGAAGGTTTGAAAACCTATTTTTCATTTATAAAAATACTAGAAAAAATTTACCATACATACAATTTACCATACATACAATAAATTACACATTTACCTGCATGGAAGTCTATGCCCACAGCAAATGAAGTTCCAGATACAGGCATTAAAGCATCCATTTTATCATTTGGATCAAGAGGAATTCCTCTAATTCCTTCATGAACAGAATACATAAGAAATGATTCGACACCTATTGTAAAAAAAAAAAAAAAAAAAAAAAAATAGGCAATGAGAGCCAAGTGGAGACTTTCCCAAGTCACAAGACTTGAGGAATTAACAAGCACTAGACAGTTTTTCCAATACTTCTCCATGGTTTTCCAGAATGATAACTCCACCTATTTGAAAAAAAAATCCATGAATTATTATAGTGTACTTTTAATTAAACGATAAATGCAGTTTTATAAAGAGAAGGGAATCACTATCCATTTGAAGCACCACTTTAAAATTAAGTAATTAGCAATAATGAAAATTAAAACTTAAGAAAATGTTTTTGAATTATGAAAAAATTAAAAATATTTTCAGTGCAGATCTGAATATGTACAAAAAGTACAGAAAGAGACAAATTTAAACAACTTGTGTAGAGCAGGACTCAAGATCATAAATACTCTTTTGAAGCATGGGACTCACCTCATTTGGTCATGCACACTTTCTTTAGACAATAAACAGAAACACATAGTCTTAGTGAATAATGCATTTGATGCATTTTAAATGTCTACTTTTGTGCTAGATTAAATCAAAATCCACATGCACCTATTTCTATTAAGTAAGAATAAATTCTACTTTGTATGGGTCTTGTTATGTAGCCATTCCCAGTTGAGATGAATCATACCTAATCGTTGACAACCAAAATTAGAACAAATACTTTGTTACCCTAAACTGTTAATATATCACAGCACTTCTAAATTTAAGGGAAATTATGCAACATGGCTATACCTTACTTATACCCCTGAATAATTTTAACTACCATACACAAAAAAGTTCCTTTTTCTTCACATTAATTATTTCAAAATTTCTTTCTTTTTAAAGAGCTAGCTAGCAGAAGACCCTAAAAATATGGACTAAAAAGTTTAGATAGAGAATTACAAAATCTTCTTCTAAGTAAGAAGAAATCTAGCTAGCAAATGAAAAGAGAAATGGTAAACAAGTAAACATGTATAGAATAGTACTTGTCAGATTTTATCCATCAATATTCAAAACAGAATAAAAATGTGTTTGACTCATTACCTCTTTTTAATTGATGGAAAATTTAGTCGTAAAAAACTGTTATCGTCTAGAAAGCAGTATATATAGACATAAAGGAGGAATACATTTTAAAAACACAACATCCAGCAGTTTTACCTTAACCCACAACTGAAAGTTACAAATATCTGAAGAAGTAACTATAAAACTAAAAATGACTATGTTAAAAAAAAAAAGAACATTATTGTCACATAAGAAAAGCACTGAAGATGTAGAAAAGCCACATTTATCTTGCTTAATTCTGCTTCCACGTATACTCTACTATTAACCAGATGAGGCAGCAATCCCTCACAGGAATAAATAAAATTACATTTATGCAACTAAAAGGCACCTTGACCATAAGGCTGTTTTGTATTATTCAAGCAACAAAGACCTTGGATGTAAGCTATGCTTTGATTTTTTTCCTGCTCAAATAGACAAAAGATTTAAAATAACAAAGTAAAAAAAAAATAAAAAAATCAGGTCTTACTTTATATTAAGGGCAATACAATAAGATTAAATACCCAACCTTTCAGATAGCCTACAATTTAGTTTAAAGTTCAGGTATGTGACCTTCAACAAATATGCACTGCTATTAACAGTGGCTCAAATGGTCTGCTTTTCCGCCTACATGTAAAAAAACCCTAAAAAACAATCCTCAGATTTTCCACAAAAAGCTATGCAGAACTAAATAAAGAAATTAAAGGCTAAATTGAAATTCTATCCTAACTACAACAGACATTTTTCTATTACTGCTTTAATTAAGCATATTAAGTATGATTATTTAACTTAAAATTAATAAAGGAAGTTTATTTACTCATTACAGTGTTCCCATAAAACTGAAGTTAGTTAAAATAACTATGGAAAGCCATGTTACCTTTGCATGCCATGCGGTTTTTTTGAAGATTGTAGCCTACTGTACACACACAAGTCCTGGTGGTTTCTGATGTTGGTAAACAGAGCTGGGAGCATCCACCATTGTTTAACTGACAGGAATTGCTACCTGTAACATGATGGAGAAAAGACAAGAGGAAACTAAATTTGAACTGTGTAATCCTGTCTAAAAATGAGTGTTGACATCACTTTATTAATATTAGCAAAACCAAATTTTGTTCAGCTAGCTTCTTTGAAAAATTCATATATGTATAAAATATTTCAGGCTATGCTACTATTCATATACTCTTCCATGCTTCACTCAGTATTTTATCTGTGCACTTAGAATAGAGATAGATCTCACAGATCCATGCTCCTTCTTCTTAATTAAAACGATATATTCTTTTAAGTAATAGATGAACACTTTTAACTAAGATTTTTCATAAACATTATACACAGTAAAATAAACACATCTCAGAAATGTGAAGCTTCATGAAGAAACATTTAAGTCTACTAAGACATTCAAGGAATTAGTTGATTACAAGCTAACAAGCTTATATGAATCAGAGAGCTACTTGTCACATTTATTTTTGCATTCCTAATTTTGAAGTAGGAAGCATTTCTTTATCTAAAATCACAGGTGTTTTCTAATGATCCAACTATATGAATGGAAAAGACAGGTGAGGTTTCAAAGTCTCAGGTATCCTCAGGCAAAGGTTATATTTGAATACAGAGAAATCTGTAGGTGCCCTCACATCACATTTGCTCTCATGTCTCTGATTTAATGAAATGCAAAATGCATGTGAAATATGCAAAGATTTTTTTTAAAAAACATGCAAGTGTAAAGAAGAATCCCATCTACAGTGTTTAATTGTATCTAAAACACTGACATTGCTCTGTCAAAACATAGATTAGCAAGGTGACATTTCACTACACAACTTCAGGGCTCTCTCAATTTTTATTACTTACTGTTCCACCACATTTGAAACTAAGGACAAGACTGGCAAAGCACTTTTGGTGTTTCCTAGACTAGGTAAAATGGCAAGTGTTTCCAGATGTGTTCAATATGGAACTGCATCAGTGTACTCCATTCATAGACTACTTATTGTCCGTCAGATATCAGACAGCTCAGCTCTATCCTGTGTTCATTTGGAAGTTTCTCCGCAAATTTGATTTGTTTAATGTAGAGATCCCATCCTTGTCACTTTCAGTGCAGCCATCAACATGTTGAAAGTAGCTAGGATCAGAAGTAATCTCTTTCTAAAGAATCTCCCAAATATTTTCATCTCTGATCTCCAAATTCATAAACCTGTGTGTGTGACCCTAAGTTACACTTCTTCGTATTATCTTAGTTCTCACTTTGCCAATTAAGTTTTGGCAGTATTAGCAGTATTCCCCCATTTTTCTGATGTCACACTTTTGATTCATACTACTGTCACTTCTGTCAATTTAGATGAATTAAACAGTCTTAAAATAAACAGATAATTAAGAATGTTATTGAAATCTCCCATAATACTTCACTTGCTTAAAATGTCAGTAATTAGAGATGAAGTTCACATATTAATTGATTGTATTTTTTACTAAAAATTTTAAACTTAAGATTCTATAAATTAACATCAAACCACTATATTGTAAACTTCAGAAAACATCTGATAAATTGAAATATATCAGGCAGATATTGTATTTTGTTCAGTAATTCATAATATTTTATAATATTTTATCATTGAATTACAATGAAATGTGTATTAATTTGTTCTAGCCACATTTGGAGAATAACATGGGAAATTACACTATGCAGTCTAAAAGTTGGTCAAACATGCTTAAAATTTAACATACCTTGCTGTGCTGCTTTATCATAAACTTTCATGTGTACAACACCTGATGTTTTGTTTCGCAGGACTGTTGGGTTTCTTCCATCTTTTTTGTTACAGGTACCAATCTGAGCTAAGTTCTGGTCCGCCCACCAAAGCTTTTTATCTGTAAAATTTCAATTATTAAAAATTAAGAGGATCACTACCAAACTATATATGTTTGAAACCTAAGTGGGAAAAAGCTTTTGAGGTTAATTCTCGGATTAACTTAAAGGAAAATTGATCAAAGAATAAATAATGTTTGGGGTTTTAAAAAAAATATTATTTTAAAAACAGAAACTTCAGATTTACAAGTTTACTTTTCTCTCTTTAGGTGATAGGTTTTCACACATTTTTAAGTAGGAAAACTGCACTAGGTCCAATTTATAACTGAAAGTTATAAAATCTTATTTATAGATCATATACTACTACAACAAAGGGTTTGTTCTCAAACTTTGCTATATCCATTCATTATGTACGTAAAGATAACAGGAACTCTGGTTCCAGGTTGACATTACTTGACTTGAGTGTTAAAATTAATAAGTATGACTATTACCATAAAAGTAATTAAGAATCTTGTTACTGTCTTTAAGAAATTATAGAAATTACCAACTGACATTAATAGTAGCTTTTTTCATCATGATTTACACAAGATTTTAAAATAAAAGAAGAAATAAGACATACTATGGTACATACTGGCATAAAACTTTAAACCATCCTAGTCAATCCTCACATGCAGAATACTTGAATCATAGTACGAAGGACTTGTCAAAAATTTATGACAGAGAATTCTCACTTGATGCCCAATTACAGTATATGCAACATATTTTTCAAGGGTTGGATTTCAGGTTACTTTAGTCATAAAGATTTCATTTATATTCAGACAGGACTCTAAGAGCTATGAGGACAGAAACACCAAGTTTGATCATATTTCCGTGGCCATATTGGTTACTGCGGAATGTAAATTTTCATTTTAAAAGAAATTAAGATACAAATGTCAATATTAATGTAGAGACAATCTTCATAATTTAATCAACAGTGTATGATGACAAGCAATTTAAAATGTATTTCAAAAAACTCAAAGGTATACACGAGATGTATATTCTCTATTTCATTTCACTTACATCACTTCAGGAAAAAGTTATTTCTGAAGCTCCATTACAATATTTTAAGCATAAACATTAGAGATTGTTTTAGTTTTGTTCAGAAATATGCAACACTTGTCAATGTTACTAGTTTGTCATTTTGAGACCTTAACTCATTACCTACTGGAATTAATGAAAGAGTCTTTTCAGTTAAAGACCTTGCTAATCTTTTATTCATCTAATGAAAGCTAGTAAGATGCCTCAGTGTCAATGGTTTATAATTTCTTTAAGGTAACAATCTTTACTGCTTTTCCTCAAATCAATATTGGGGTGATATTCCTACTAAGTTTTGAATATATTATGTTTCATGCCATCACTTCATATTACACAAATAAGGTATAAAATAAGTCACAACAACCACAAAGTAAAAAGAAAAAAGCCAAAGACCATCTATCAGGAAACACAGTAAGAAGAAATAATGCAACTAGAAGAAAAGAATATTAAATATACACTTTTGACAGACTTGGAAGATGGAATATGTTAAAATGAGGGGAAATAAGAAAAAAATAGAAATGCCCTTCACACTCTTGGCATTTCTTTACACCCCTATGAATATAAAAGGCCACAGTGACTGGCTTAACCTGTAGCTCTGAAGGATGACATCAAGATCGTAGAACTGCTTTCTGCAACAGCTACGTCCTCTGTCAGTGTTTCAGTGAAGACACTGAGGTGATGATGGAAAAGCTCCATGGTATGGCACTGCTACTCGTAATGGCCTTATGTCAAGGGCTGCAGCAAGTGTCATAAATCATGGGTGCCCAAAGACTGCTCACCCTTACATCACATCTGAGACTACCACAACTTGAGAATCAGGGTACTGAAATCAGCCATGACATGCTTTTGTGACTTGCCATGTGCCAAGAGAGAACAAAACCAACCTTTAAATTTCACATACACAGGCACCACTACTCAAGGTGGGATCATTTGTTTAATGCAAACTAATATATTCTACATAAATATCTTCCATGAGGCACATGGGGACAGTTCAGTCCAGAGGAAACGAAAGAAGGGATTGCAATTGCAAACATGTATTTCTGAAAGGAAAGTAAACCTCTGTCAGATCCAACAGAATAATAAACGTAGTAATGGTGCTTACTGCCTAATTATGCTTACTGTCTAATTTTAACACTTGAGAACTTAAACTTGCTTCCAAAACAAGAACTATGCTAACTCATAGCGACTGAATGTTCACAGTGAAGAGCTCCTTACCTAACCAATGCCAAGTCCTTCAGCTGTTTCCCTTATAACATAATCTTTTCATTTTTATCATAATTAATTTCAGCCAGCTTGTTCCCATTATTCATCAATCTCAATGGTTGCTGGAAGCAAAGCAAATCAGTCCTTTCCTGTCTGGGTGAGACTGAAACACAGAGCATACCGAACACACAGAAAACACTTAGCCAATGCTAACTCTTAATGTCATCCTTCAGACATTGCATAAAAGCATTATTTCAGTGAAGAACTTCCTGATGTTTCTAGCTCTAGACAAACAAATCCAAATGCAAAGCACTGACAGCTATTTCTATCAAGTATAACGGGAACAACAACATCCTGTATTCTACTTTTCACAGTAGAGACATGAGATACCTCTGCTAGTTTTTGATAACTATTTAAAACCTTAGAAAAAAAATCAATGCACAGACCTAACATAACCTTTGTCAAAATACTGATCTATTTATTTATTTATTTATTTTGAGCAAAATCAAGAATGCACATAGGCCACACTTCCTTGATGAACTCAAAAGCCACCCTGTGCAAAATCTTGTCTGACTGCAAAATAGTGGAATGATTGACTGTTTGAATCTCTTCAGTTTGCTGGCAGCCAGATGGTCAGGCAGCACACGTGCTGGCCAGTGTCATCACTTCACGTGTAGCTCCAGAGTGGCAACAGACCGTGCATTGTTTTGACACAGAGAAGATGGAGAATGGAGAGGAAAAACTGAAATTTAAGAAATACGTGAGGAAAATAGAGAATTGTGATAGCAAATTGTTGAATTGTGAAGGGGATAAGGCTCTGTAAGCGCTTGCAGTAGAGACATCTGTTGTGCAGAAGAGCAGGAGAGAAACTGGGGTGAGGTCTTAGGATGAACGATGTAGGGCATTGCACTGGAGGTATTATGGAGGGAAGGTTACAGAGAGATTCAGGAGACAGGAAGCAGTCTTCACCAGTCCCACTTTTGCTGCAACAAGTGCTGATCTGAGGGTACTTCCTTAGAAAATCCTAAATTAAAATGCCTACTTATATATGGAAATTCTACTCACTTCATTCTAGGGAAGAATTTTATTTTCACAAGTGAACAAAATAGTTTGTAATATTAAAACACATTTTGTCATTAAAACCAAATTACAATCAATAACTAAGAAATTAGGGGGGGGAAAAAAAAAAGAAAAGCAGGCTCCACCTCCTAATGCACCAGAATATAATTTTAAAAAGCTGTGACATCAGATTCAAACTTCAATGAACTTATGGTCAAACACTGACAGAGACCATAGTCAATCTTCTGATTTCAAGTCCTTAACACATTAGTCCTCACTGTCTGTAGAGCAGACACAGATGTATGATGAGATGGCCTCAGTGTTCCAGGTTGACAAGCTCCACAGTACAAACCTGTTTCATAGTGTCTCTTTTTTTCTCTAAGGACCCTACCCGAGTCCTTATTCCCTTCAAAAGACTTACAACAGTACAATGACCTCCTTCCAACTCATTGAGGGTTATCAGTTTCTCCTGACTTAGTCAAGTCATTCACCTTAGTGACTGGCTAACACCCTAGCTCACCACTTCAGAAAAGAAGTTACAGATGTTTATGCTATGAATTTGAAATTATATTTTGGAGGATCCACAACCTATATTTTTCCTATATTACAAAGAAATTTAAGCTATTTTAAAATAAAATTTAATCAATCAAATATAATGTCGTTCTGGTACTAGCCTTCCAGGAAGCCTCATTAAAGAAAAAAAGGCTTCACTGGCCCATCTCTTGTATTCGCTGAGTTAACAAAATGGTATAAAAATAAGTGCAAACAACTTCCTCTGCTCTCAGCCTTTTGGAAAAGTAACGATTTTAAACAAACTGAACCAGCTAGCATTTTAATACCAAATTACCTCAGACCTAGATTTGACCAAGAGTCTCAAGGGCAATGCAAGGTAGTTTGTGTGAACATTAAACCAAACCATGAAAGGGAAAACAGAAAAAACAAAAATAAATTATAGCAGCAATTTGAATTCCACTTTATCTGCAGTTTGTCACGTGTATTTTTAAACTGCAACAATGCATTTGGCAGTATATGGACAGTACCACATGCTGAGGTTACTATCAAACTACTGCTTCGCAGTGAGTTAACATTTCATTCATGACTACATTTAAAGTATTAATTACTGTGAAATACAATCTTGCAGCAATGCTCTACATGAAGAAAAAAAAGTACTAACAGTTCTTTTGTTTTTCTCCAAATAGTTAAGTACCTTTCAAACATCTTAAATAAAATAATTAAATAGGACAAGTCTGTATAATTACAAGTTTAACATCATCAGCATTTTCATTTCAGACAGAAAAACTTATTACTGCAGATGAACGAAAAGTAAAACCCTAGGATGGAAAAAAAAAACCCAAAAAACCAACCAAACTATGGGAACACTCCCTTTCCAACAAATACTGTGTATTAACTTCATTTCTAGCTCATTTTCTTTTCAGTTAAATATATTGTTGCCTATGCTGCAGTTTTAATGCTTAAATAACTAATTTATAGAGCCAGAAAGTTGAGTGTTTCATGATGAAAGCTGCAGATCTGAAAAATATTTGCATTGCACTAAGTGTAAAAAGTTACTGCAAAAAAGAAAATAAACTCTGAAAATATCAAAGGAAAAAAGCATTTACTGAGTAGTCTTCACAGGTATATGATGAGACAACTATCTACAGAATGAAAATATTCTGAATATGAATACTTGGAAAGACAAATGGAACTCTTCAGTGAAACCTGTGCA